AAGACCGTCGCCACCTACTTCGCCGAGATGCGCGGCTTCGCCGATGAGCTGGCCGCCGCCGGGAAACCTTACCAGGATGATGAACTCATCTCCTACATCCTGCACGGCGTCGACATGGACTACCAGCCACTCGTCTCCGCCCTCGACGCCCGCATCACCCCGGTATCCCTCGATGAGCTTTTTTCAATGCTTAGCAACTTTGATCACAGGGTGGCACAATACCAGGGATCGGGCGGCTTCAAGTCGTCGGCTAACGCCGTGACGCGCAGGCGTGGCGGCTACGCATGTCATCGTGGTCCTCCTCGCTCCAAGGGCAAGCAGGGGAGTGGTGGCAGCAATGGCGGGTCCAACTCCCGCAACGGACGGTCCAACTCCACGAACACTAGGGGCCGCCATGGTGGTTCTTCCAGGTCGCCCCCGGACGCGGTGCGTTGCCAAATCTGCGGCAAACCGGGCCACACGACGAGATACTGCTGGTACCGGTTCGATGAGGATGAGGCCTCCTCTGAAGATGAAGAAAAGGTGGCCGTTGCTGCTGATGGCTCATATGGCGTCGATACCAATTGGTATCTCGACAGTGGCACAACGAACCATCTCACCGGCGAACTAGAGAAGGTGACACTCAAGGAGAAATATCATGGCAAGGACCAGATCCACACCGCAAGTGGTGCAGGTATGAGGATACGTCACATTGGTCATTCAGTTTTTCATACCCCATGTCAAAAATTTCATCTTAGGAAAATTTTGCATGTCCCTAGCACTGACAAGAATCTTCTATCTGTCCATCGAATCACCCTTGATAATCATGTTTATATTGAATTTCATCCCTTCTTCTTTTTGATCAAGGATCAGGTCATGAGGAAAACTCTCTATCGAGGTAGATGTGTTCGAGGCCTTTACCCGTTGATTCTGGAGCTTCGAAGATACAATAAACAAGCTTGTGGTGCTATCAAGCTTTCAGCCACACGGTGGCACAACCGTTTAGGGCACGCCTCATTTTCTTTAGTTGATCATTTACTTAAAAAGAATAAGCTCCCGTTTGTTGGTGAGCACAATATTGAAACCATTTGTGATTCTTGTCAGAAAGCAAAAAGTCATCAACTTCCTTACCCTGTTTCCACTAGTGTTTCTACTCAACCGTTGCAATTAATTTTTTCTTATGTATGGGGTCCTGCCCCAAGCTCCATTGGTAGACACACATACTACGTAAGCTTCATTGATAACTATAGCAAGTTCTCTTGGCTCCATCTTCTTAAAAAAGGTCAGACGTGTTCCAAGTCTTTAAAAACTTCCAAGCTCTTGTTGAACGTCACTTTGATAGAAAGATTCTTGCTGTCCGATCCGACTAGGGAGGGGAGTACGAAAAATTAAACTCCTTCCAAACGCTAGGGATTTCCCATCATGTGTCATGCCCTCACGCTCACCAACAAAATGGGTCTGCGAAACGTAAGCATAGGCACATTATTGAGGTTGGTCTTGCTCTCTTGGCCGGAGCTTCTATGCCCCTAAAATTTTGGGACGAAGCATTCCTCACTGCCGTACACATCATAAACATGCTTCCTAGTCGGGTTATCAACAATGAAACTCCCATAGAAAGGCTTCTCCACACAAAACCAGATTATAAATCTCTTTGTATCTTTGGATGTGCTTGTTGGCTGAATCTCCGCCCCTACAACAACCGCAAGCTTATGTTTCGCTCCAAACAGTGTGCGTTTCTTGGGTATAGCACTCAGCATAGGTGTAAAATGCCTTGACATCTCTACTGGTCGTGTCTACATCTCTAGAGATGTTGTTTTTGATGAGACAAAATGCCCTTTCGCTGATCTTCACCCCAATGCCGGCGCCTTACTTCACAAAGAGATACTTATTCTACCACCTCACCTCTCCGGTCATGATCAAGGGGGACATGATAACTGTGATGATCATTTGTTGACTAATCCTCCTAACCATATGCATGAGCCTTGTGATGCCATAGGAGACCATAGCGGTGAAAACAACAAAGAAAACGGTGAAACCATGAAGAAAATGGTGCAACAGTCTGCCCATATCATATGTGTCACGGTGGAGGGAGCAAATCTGCCTCGGGATCCGGTGTGATAGCAGCGGCAGGTGGATCAGCCTCGGGATCCGGCGCGTCAGTAGCGGCAGGAGGATCTGCCTCGGGATCTGGCGCGTTAGCAGCGGCAACGCGCGGTGCTGCGCCAGGCACGCCAACGGCACCCGTCTCCATGTAGGCCACGTGGCCCGCTGTGGTTGGCAGCGGCGGCTCCACCAGCCTGCGCGAATTAAAAACTGCCACGTGCCAGGCTGCCGCTGGCCCGTTCGGCTCGTGTTTCGGGAGCCAGTCGGCTGTCTACAAGTGGTGCAACACGGTGCGACCGGCTGGCGCGGGACAAGACACAGCAGGCGCAGATTCCTGTCGGCCCGTGTCGGTTGGTCGGATGGGATCTTCTGCGCCGGATTCCTCTCCCGCATAGCAGCCAGCTGCCATAGAAGATCAGCCAGCAGTGGACCCCGCCAAAACTGCTGGAGCAGGCAGATCTGCCTCGGATCAGGCACAGATTCCAGCTCCTGATTCAGCCACAGGATCCTTTGTGGCGCAAAACAATGCTGCTGCATAGCAGTGCCGTACAAGATTACAATCAGGAGTAAATAAGCCAATTAATTACAAGCACATAACCAAATATGGTATGATCTGTTCTACAGGTGAACCAGGTGAGCCCACCACACTTGAGGAGGCCCTTGGTGATGAGAAGCGGAGAAAGGCAATGCATGAGGAGTATGTGGCACTACAGAAAAATAAAACATGGCATTTGGTTCCTCCAAAACAAGGTAAAAATCTTATTGAATGCAAGTGGGTCTTTAGGATCAAAAGAAAGTCTCATGGAATAGTTGATCGTTATAAGGCAAGGCTAGTTGCTAAAGGCTTTAAAAAACGGTATGGCATAGACTATGAGGACACCTTTAGTCCAGTTGTAAAAGATGTCACCATCCATCTTGTTTTGTCTATTGTTGTTTCCAGGGGATGGAGTCTTCGACAATTGGACGTACATAACGTGTTTCTTCACAGTGTTCTGGAAGAGGAGGTTTACATGAAACAACCTCCTGGGTTTGAAAACAAACATGCACCCTCTTATGTATGCAAGCTTGATAAAGCACTGTATGGATTGAAACAGGCTCCTAGGGCATGGTATTCTCGTCTTAGTAAAAAGATGCAAATGCTTGGCTTTGTTCCTTCAAAGTCTGACACATCACTGTTCATTTACAATAAGTCCAATACATCAATATTTGTTCTTATATATGTTGATGATATTATTGTCACAAGTTCATCTGATGAGGCAATAACAGGACTATTGAAGGACTTAAGCACCGAGTTTTCCCTAAAGGACCTTGGTGATTTGCACTATTTCCTAGGGATTGAAGTAAAGAAGCACAAGGATGGACTTCATCTCTCCCAGGAAAAATATGCAAATGATTTGGTAAGAAAAGCTGGGCTGCAAGGTTGTAAACCTACCACTACTCCTTTGTCTAGTACAGAAAGATTGTCTCTCACAGAAGGAACACTTTTGAGTTCAGAAGACAGCACAAGGTACATAAGTCTTGTGGGTGCACTTCAATACTTGACACTCACACGACCTGACATTTCTTTTGCTGCCAACAAAGTGTGTCAATTCCTTCATGCACCAACCACAGTTCATTTGACTGCTGCAAAATGTATAGTCAGGTATGTGAAAGATACTATGAGCATTGGTCTTAATTTTAGCAAGTCATCTTCTACTCTTGTTAGTGCCTTCTCTGACTCAGATTGGGCAGGATGTTTGGATGATAGACGGTCTACTGGTGGCTTTGCAGTATTTCTTGGACCTAACCTGATTTCTTGGTGTGCCAGAAAGCAAGCTACTGTTTCCAGGTCCAGTACAGAGGCAAAGTACAAGGCACTGGCTAATGCTACATCAGAAATTATATAGGTTCAATCCATCCTTAAGGAGCTTGGTGTGAAAACTACTCAAGCTCCATGTCTGTGGTGTGATAATTTGGGTGCAACTTGTCTCTCACCAAATCCAGTTTTTCATGCAAGAACAAAACATATTGAGATAGATTTTCATTTCGTCAGAGAGAGAGAGAGAGATAGTTGCTAATATATAAGCTCCTAGACATTCGGTTCATACATTCCAAGGACCAGATTGCAGATAGGTTTACAAAAGCATTGCCTATACGAAGTTTTGAGAACTTCAGATATAATCTCAACTTGATGAAGTTGTGATTAAGGGAAAGTGTTAAACGACATATTGATATGTACGTGACAAGGAGGCTGCCGCACCATATCATCTTAGGTAGTTGGTAGGTTGTTAGCAAGAGTTTATCTCCTTATTGTAATCTTATCTCTACCTAGCTTCCTCTCCAAGATGTAATCGTATCTAAACTGTATGCGCTATTAGGAAGGTGCACCCCTGCCTATAAACACATACGGCGTCTCTTCGAGTTGAGATACGACGCTTTCGTATAGTCTCAATATCTCTGTAGGTCCAGCTCAAACATATATCGCCACCTTCCAGGAAGTTTCCACAGCTCTGCACATGTCTAACTTCAGCAGACGGTGCCAATGCTAATCTGAAAAAAAAAACAGAGGGATTATGCCAATGCTTCATGTAAGAGCAACCATTTTAAATTCGTGGGGGCCGAATCAAGTGATAGCGGCAGGGCCAGTCAACTCTAGAGCAGCACAGATGCCTTCGATGGAAAGCACCTGCTGACATCGATTCAAGTTCACCCTGCTTCGTATACTCCTCCATCGTCACGCTCCAGGGAAGACTACCTCCCGTCCGTTCCACCTCCTCCGCCTCCCTCTGAAACCAATCGGCACCACCACCGCCACCGCCACGCAGCCGCGTTGACCGCTGCCCCAAGGCTCCCCTGCGCCGCGGCAGCCCACCGGAGCATTGAGCAAGCACGCCCCACAGACGCCCTGCCCCGCCGCCAGGGTCTCTGACCGACCCGCGATGTCGCGCGGCGGCGGGTGCTGCCCCCCGATGGATCTACTGCGGTCGGAGGCGATGCAGCTGGTGCAGGTCATCATCCCCGCCGAGTCGGCGCGCCTCGCCGTCTCCAACCTCGGCGACATCGGCCTCCTCCAGTTCAAAGACGTACGTCCGCACCGCACGCCCTGCTGCTCACACCTTTGCTTGCTTTATTGCTTCTTGGATTTCAATCTGTTTCCCCGCTTCCGTTCGATCGCGCAATGCTGCGCGTCGTGTTCCTTCAAGCTAGGGTGCGGACCGGCGGTGTGCAGCTAGCGTTTTGGGCCTCGGCGTAGTAAACAATAGAGCATTGCGTGCTATGATACGCGATGTGGACTGCATATGTCTCAACCGATAGCCAACGTGCGGCATTGACCCAATGAGATAAACAATTATAGGATTGACCCAGCGAGACAGACTAGAAGATATCACTCGTCGAAGAAATGGATGTATCGAGGCGTAGATACATCCATTTCTACGATGAGTAATTCGGGACGGAGGGAGTACATGAATGTCAAGTTAATAATAGCCTAATTTTATGTCCTCATGATAAATTTTGAACTACAAACATTTCAAATTTTCTTAATGATTTGAAGTATTTTTTTACAACTACTGACATGCAAGCGTACGCGCAGCGCTATCTTAATTATGAGATTATGTAACCTCAGGTGAACTTATTTTAGCTTGGAATTTCGTAAGGTAAAACATGAAACCTGTTGACATAGGTGATTTTTATCTGCCTTAAGTCGTGCCTTTTCCCTTTTGGTTTGGTTCAGGAGAATCTAATATCTGCCCTTTGTTTCAGCTTAATGCGGACAAGAGCCCATTCCAGCGGGCATATGCTGCCCAGGTACTCAATCTTTTTTAATGCTTTCCTGTTTGCTGTGCTATATGTTATGATATATGGCCTTAGATCTGTCCAGCTTACTACGAGGAACAGTTTCTTGAACACTTGGAAAGGGGCTAAATCCAGTAATATTTTGCCAACAGCTTCTGTCACTGATCAGATTTCGCATAGAACTGTTGGTCTTTTCAGCATTCTTTTGCTTTATGCTGTGAAAACAATATCCTATTCCGATGAGGAGAAACCAGCAGGGTTCTGAAACACTTCATAACCTCAAATTTTTTAATGAAAACTTCTGAACTCAATCTTTTTTATACATGTGAGGATGGAATCAAAATATCCTGTTAATGCAATGATTCGGTTTTCAGAATCCTATGTTATTCTGATTACATGCAGCCTAATGTGAAAAGGACTAAACCCAAAATATTTTGCAATCGTCTTATGCTCTGAATCATAATCATATTTCATACTGATCTATGAATTTAATAATCTTTTTGCTGCACATACACCTTGTGCAGATCAAGAGGTGTGGTGAAATGGCTCGCAAGTTGCGTTTTTTCAAGGAACAAATGTCGAAAGCTACCATATTGATTTCTCCCACACAATTTTCAGGAGCTCCTTTGGAAATTGGTGATCTGGAGGTATATTTAGTTAATGAAACTTATGCCTTCATCATTTGCAAGTTGTAAGTGTAGAATTTTGTTTTAACATTGTCAACTAACAGATAAAACTTGGGGAATTTGAAGCTGAGCTAACTGAAGTAAATACAAATAATAGAAAATTGCAGAGGACATACAATGAGCTGGTGGAGTACAGTGTTCTTCTAGAAAAGGTATGACCACATTAAGGCATAACTACATAATTTATTTGATGGAATCCACTTTTCTCTTTTCGTGCACTGACGAGAGCACCATATAGTCGTGTATAAACTGTAAGGAACTAAACCCTGAAATTCTCTGAGGTGCAAGGTGAAAAAGAAATAATACGAAAAACTTGCCTGTAGAATATTTGTGACATAAAGGAAAGATAAATCGACCCTCTAATGTCCATAAACTCGCTGATGTAGTTAAAAACTGAAAATGTTGCAACATTTGCCACCATTGATTTCGAATTGCATTCATTGTATATTACTTTGGGTTTTGTTGAACATGACATGAAATTCCCAATATTCCAATCTCAAGCGGGGATCAGAAATGTATATAAAGTATAATTGTCATCGATGCAGTCTTTTCCAAACAAAAGTGAAACCACAAACTATATCTTTTGACTATTCAGATTACAAAGTAGTATTGATCGATTGAATGAAAAGAAACATCTCTTACAACTTTCAATGCAAATTTAGAAGAGAGTGGTTGCTGTCGGCTCGTATTTGGGTCCACGACATGACAGGAGTCATGTAGCAAGCATTCCAGTAAGTAGCGCATAGCAACAGCATGAGGATGAGGAGTCAGATAAATATCTGGTTATTGGTGGAGCAGGCAATTCATTGTTAAATTTGTATGCAGTTAGGAACCCTTGTCTCGGAATCTGGTCATGTTATTTTCTTTAACCTGGGTCCATTGTAATCTTTGGCAAGCAAAGAAATAAGTTCCTTATGCCTGAACTTCCTTTGTGCCGAGAGGTAAGCTGCTCACTGCATTTGCACCTTGCTGCCAAAGCGTGCTCCTTGCAATGGGTACCATGACTTGTGCAGTGCAATTCTTTTTCTTTTCTGGTTGTGTGTTGCCAGTCAGTCGAAGATTTGTGTTTGATGTGCCTACACAGGGCACCTAATTAATAATTATCCAGTTGTGCACTTTTGACTGCAATGAGTATTATTTTTCTCGCACGCCAAATTTTAAGTGTGCATCATGTGTTGAAGCGGGTCTCTTTAAACTATGCCCGTTTGTTTTTTGTGTTTTTAGGATGTATTTTGCATGTGCGGATATTTTATTTGTACATACTCGAGAGTCCTATAATGCCGTGTCCCTATAGTAGCTCCACCCATAGTTATATGTTGTTCATTACTGACTCTATTTACTTTCAGACTGGTGAGTTTTTCTATTCAGCTCAAAGAAGTGCGGCAGAGCAACAGAGGGAAATGGTGGCTGATCAGTCTGGTGATTCTTCTCTGGAGAGTCCTTTATTGCATCAGGTGAGGACCATTTTTCTAGTAAAGCAACATATTAGCTCTCCTTGTTTTCATACTTCTTCTTTCGTTGCAGGAAATGGTGATAGATCCATCGAAACAAGTGAAGCTAGGTTCCCTGATTGGTCTTGTGCCAAAGCAAAAGGCTATGGCCTTTGAGCGTATACTTTACCGTGCCACCAGGGGCAATATGTTACTCCGACAAGAATCTGTTGATGAATCTATAATTGATCCACAATCTGGAGAGGAGGTTGCTACTTCCCTTTGTCGTCAACTCGCTTCCATAAATTTTAGGAGTTACTTATGAAGAGAGAAGTGCATATTACACCCCTCAACTCTAGCCCTAGTCTAATATACAACCCTCAACTTCAATACCATCTAGTTTACACCCCCAACTCTCAAAACCAGGCGGAATTCAACCCTTCCCTCCCCGGTGACCGGTTTTGACCTGTTGACTGGGTGAACAGTAAACTCAAAAGAAATATATTTTAAAAAAAATTACGTTTTTTCACCGGCTGAATAGTAAAATTTTAAAAAGTTCTAAATAAATAATTAAAAATAATTTTGATTTTTTAAAATGTTGATTTTTTGTCCGGGTGAACAGTAAATTTCAGGAAAAAAATTAAGGGAATTTTTTTTTCTGAATTATATTTGCATGAAACAGTTAACAGTTCGGGCTGATATATTTTTTTTGTTGAGAGACCACTGAAATGTCCAAACAAGCTGAAAATTGTCACAGACATCACGCGCTGAAAAATCGTCCACGCAAAAATAATTCGGTTTTTTTGGAATTTACTATTCACCAGGTAAAAAATCGAAACTGCTTGTTGAATTTTATTTCCATTTTTTTTGAATTTACTGTTCACTCATTGGAAAAACCAAAATATTTTTTGATTTTTTGTTACTGTTCACCCAGTCAACATGTCAAAACCGGTCAACTAGGTTAAAACCGGTCAACGGGGAGGGGAGGGTTGAATTCCGCCTGGTTTTGAGAGTTGGGGGGTGTAAAGTAGATGGTATTGAAGTTGGGGGTGTATATTAGACTAGGGCTAGAGTTGAGGGGTGTAATATGCACTTCTCTCACTTATGAATGGGGAAGGGTCCAACCACTTTGGGTCTATTGTAGAGAGTCTTTCCTTACATTTCTGCAAGAGGTTGTTTCCAGGATTCGAACCCGTTATCTCATGGTCACGAGGCAACAGCTTTACGGCTGCGCCATGGCTCCCGTTCTGGGCCCAAGCAGTTAGAATGGGGAAAAATTAGAAGGGGTAAATAGTGGCACAAGTTTGCTTAAATTGGGTAAAAATGTGAAAAATCTGCTAAATGAGGTATTTCCTGTCACAAGCATGAAACTAGGGCATAAAAAATGGAATTCACTCTAAAATTATTATTTTCTCGGCAATGATGTTTACATTCAGCTGTTTGCTTAAAGCCACTGTGTATTGTTGTTATGTTTTCCCCACTAGTTATGTACTTATTTCTGAAATGTTATTTTCCTCATATGGTTTTTTCACTATAACGTATTGACAGGCCGTGAAAAATTATTTTGTTATATTCTACTCTGGAGAGAGAGCAAAATCCAAGATTCTGAAAATTTGTGATGCTTTTGGCGCCAACCGTTATCCACTTCCAGAAGACCTTGCCACACAATTACATACTATTCAGGAGGTTGGTGTCTATCCCTGTGTGTTGCTCTTTAAACCATGTTGGTGCTCATTTTGCTTTGTGGATTAGTTCTCTTGAAGAGACTGCTGAGACCTCCTCTCATGATTGCTTCTGTGTATATGTTTATGTTATGTTCTTGAGCATATACTGTATATTTGACATTGACATCATACAATAGATAGCACATCATCATGTTAAACCCGCTATTATTTAGTACTTCAGGACACATTTTCGTAAACTGCAGGGAATATTTTCTTTTCTTCTTTTTGGTGTTCCATGTTTGATGAGATAGGTGATCTTGTTGAAATGTTTTCCTTTATGTCTCAAGCTTGTGCAGTAGTTCTGAATTGTAGTCGAAACTTCTTTCACAAAAGCTGTTGTACTATATTTACTAAGTTACTATTATTTGTTCTGAAACATTTACAACTGTTTAGGTATCTGGAAAAGTGTCAGAGTTGAAGGCAACTGTTGAAATAGGTTTAGCTCATCGTGACGGCATACTTAAAAATGTAGCCTCTGAGTATGAAGAATGGAACAACCTGGTAAGCTTGTATTAGAAACAATGTTTTGGTATGTTTCTTATCATGCAAAACAGAAGTCCGTGCTATTTGAACAGCGCTTGCTGAATATCTTGTTAATTTCCTTGCATTCAAGTTTAATTCTGATTGACATACAAATGCTTCAGTTAAAGAAGGAAAAGGCTATTTACCACACGCTAAACATGTTCAGTCTTGATGTAACAAAGAAATGTTTAGTTGCTGAGGGGTGGAGTCCCGTTTTTGCTACAAGTCAGGTATGCAGCTGCACTCTCATCCCTTCCGGCATTGATGTTTTCTGGCTTCTTTTTTGGTTTCGGTTACTCTTCTTTTGTCCATATGGTTTAAGAGTTTATTTTACCTATTGTAGGTACAAGATGCACTTCATCGTGCTACTACTGGTAGTAACTCCCAAGTTGGTTGTATTTTCCAAATTCTAAACACACAAGAATCTCCTCCAACGTATTTCCAGACAAATAAATTTACATCCTCCTTCCAGGACATTGTAGATGCCTATGGGTAAGTTTCAAAAATATAAAGATTGTTAGGGAAACACTAGTGAGCCATAAGCCAGTATATGTACACGTACATGTGTGGCACATTAATAGAAAACCACTTATATAATGGGGTATTAGTATTAGACAACTAATATGGCTCTTTGCCAAGCTTACAACCAGTAGAATCTGAAGGACCACAAAGATCCTAAAAGACCACAACGTAGTACGAACGAATGAAGACATATGTGAACCACAAATATGTTCCAAACAGTGACGTTATTGAGCAAACGACCCAGTGGAGGAAGCGGCCGAGGCGGCGTAGGTGGAGAACACGGAGGGATTGACAGGTGCAGCGGAACGTAGGAGAAGCCACTCAAACTCCTAGAGACTGAGAATCAGGGAAACGAGGACCAGTGTCAACCATGATACATCTCTCACATATCTGTATTTATATACTGTAATTCATAATCAGTATATTGTTTTGTCCACTTATTTGTTGATTTACTTTGTGTTTCTCTTTCCTAAACCTTTAGTATTGTGCTCATTTAGTGAAATTCTATCATAGTTATACTCTACTTGTGTTCCTTTCATTGTTTGTACTATTGCTCATAGATAATTATGCCCCGTATTGGTCATGTTAAGTTTTAATTTTCTTTTATTTCTTTATGCATGTAATATAATATACTCCCTTAAAGTTAGTACAAAGTTGAGTCATCTATTTTGGAATGGAGGGAGTATCTACCAATGTGGGTTATGAATTTTATCTTCAAACTTGTGATGCTAATTCAGCATATCTGATATTTACTGTAATTTACAGAAATGGTTACCGTCAACCAGGAATAACCTAGTCACTTCTTACTGCATAAAGAATTGTTGGGGTTCGTGCTATGTGCTAACTCTACATTAATCATAATTTGCAGTATTGCGAGCTATCAAGAAGTAAATCCTGGTCTATTCACTATCGTAACATTCCCCTTCTTATTTGCCGTCATGTTTGGCGATTGGGGTCATGGAATTTGTATATTTCTTACTGCATTGTACCTCATAATCCGAGAGAAGAAGCTAGCTTCACAGGTTTCGTCTCGAGCCTTCTCTTCTTCATTCAGTAGATATATGTTTTCCAAGGAAATTATTACTCCCTCCATTTTTATATACAAGGCCACAAACTCATATTACAATTATCAATATAAAATTTAATATCAGTTTTGCAAGTCAGCTTTTCTTTTCGTTTAGTGGGATCATTAATACGCTGCATGCATGCAAGGAAACTAAGTGTGGAAAGTAGATGACTATCATTATGACTGCATGCATGCAAGTATTAAACAGGGTACTAGTACGAGAAAATATCATTAATTTTGCCTCGATTACTGTTGGTGGCCTTGTATAGATGCAAAATGTATATTTCATAGTGGCCTTGTATAAGTAAACGAAGGGAGTATTAACTTTCTTCATTTCTTTGCTCGCAGAAACTAGATGACATAGTGGAAATAATGTTTGCTGGGCGCTATGTAATTTTGATTATGTCCCTTTTTTCAATTTACACTGGATTGATATATAATGAGTTCTTCTCGGTTCCATTTGAGCTCTTTGGTAAATCTGCCTACGCCTGCCATGATCCTTCGTGTGGGTAAGCTGCTGAATTTGTGCTCCTATTTTGATGTTTTATGAAAATCGTATGACTTTCCCTTTTCCCCTTGTTTTATTTATAGGGATGCTACAACTGAAGGATTAGTTAGGGTGGGGCAAACATACCCATTTGGTGTCGATCCAGTGTGGCATGGAAGCCGCAGTGAGCTGCCATTTCTCAATTCCCTAAAGATGAAAATGTCAATTCTTCTTGGAATTGCACAAATGAACCTTGGAATTGTGTTGAGCTTATTTAATGCAAAGTATTTCAAAAATACTGTTAATGTTTGGTAGGTCGATCTCTTGCTAGGAATAATCTGTCGTGTGATTTCAAAAATACTCATTCAGTTGTTGTGTCAACAGGTATCAGTTTGTTCCTCAGCTGATCTTCTTAAACAGCTTATTTGGTTACCTGTCACTCCTCATCATTATTAAGTGGTGCACTGGCTCAAAAGCTGACCTATACCACATAATGATATATATGTTCCTGAGTCCAACAGATGATATTGGGGAGAACCAGCTATTTCCTGGGCAGAGAATTGTGCAGGTTTGGTGATATTCATTGCTGCTACCATGTGTTGATTCTGTCAGTTGCACATAACATTTCTTGTTTCCTCGCAGCTTGTTCTACTTCTGCTTGCTCTGGTGTCTGTGCCTTGGATGTTGTTTCCGAAGCCATTGTTTTTGAAGAAGCAACATGAGCAGGTTGCACACCTTTCTTAATTCCCTAACTGTCTTCTCACTGGAATATATATCATATACCCACTTGTTGATGTTTTCATTTGCCTCCATCAGAGACACCAAGGCCAGCATTACACCATGCTCCAGGAGACAGATGAATCAGTGGCTCAATTGGGAGGACAACATGAAAACCCACACAACCATGAGGAGTTTGAATTCAGTGAAGTTTTGGTCCACCAGCTGATCCACACAATTGAGTTTGTGCTTGGTGCGGTCTCAAATACCGCCTCATATCTTCGTCTTTGGGCTCTCAGGTATCATTGAACATGATATAACACATCAACCCCAAATAAGTAAGTTTCTCCTCACGAGACAAACATTGACAAGTAATCGATGTCTTTATTTTTGCAGTCTCGCGCACTCGGAACTGTCCAGTGTCTTTTATGATAAGGTTCTTCTTCTAGCATGGGGGTAAGACACACTCTCTTTTACTACTCTCTACGCCTATTGTGGTTGTTCTAATCCTGTGTCGCGCTCTCTTTCCAGATACAACAATGTTATCATCCTTGTCATGGGAGTAACCGTCTTCCTCTCTGCCACTTTTGTTGTTCTGCTTTCAATGGAGACCCTAAGTGCGTTTCTGCATGCCCTGAGGCTCCACTGGGTCGAGTTCCAGGGCAAGTTTTACGATGGTGGTGGGTACAAGTTTGCGCCATTCGCATTTGCATCAATCATCGAGGAGGAAGATTAGTCCCAACCGATGTATGCAATGTAAGTACATAATATAAGACCTCAAGAGGCTATTGGAGGAAGATTCAGAAAACTCATGTTGCTTGAGCTGGAGCCATACCTGGTCATTCTGTAAATTATGATGTGCTATAACGGTGATGGAAGCGGCTGGTACAGCTGCAATTAAGGCCTAGTGCATTGCATCTCCACATTTTTGGGGTTGCCAAATTCATCAGTTTATACTCATGTCTGCAGTGCCACATAATTGATGTGTATTTTGTACTATGATTTTGTAACTAAATAAGACCCATTGTTTTAAGCTTGTTTTACTTGTCATTTGTTGATAGCTTTTTTCTCTACGTGCACCAATAGTTGTGTCATTTGTATTGAAAAAATTGGTAGAATGGTGCCAGTCTTACAAGATGACCTGGTTGTAGTATCCATAAATCCATGCCAAGAGCATTGAAAATGATATGCTAGTTGTAGATGTGAGATCAATACGTACTAAGCATCATGGCATACTTATCCCAGTTAAAGGTTTGTCCCCAAAGATTGCAAAAGTGATTAGTAAGTAATCACCAAAGCAATATTTTGAGAATCATTGTTAGCGTTGATCCACACACTATGAGATCATCTGCAAACCTAAGCGAGTGGACAGGGGGCAAGAAGCTCCTAAGTTTGTGCCATTTTAAGTTACTGGAACCGAGATAAGCAATGAAACAAGCTAATCAACAAGCCAACAAGCATAGAAAGCAAATAAAGGTGCGAGAAAGGATAAACCACAAGTGAGTCAAAGACACAGATGTATATCCTGAATTTCACACTCTTTGGGGGAGGGATAATCTACATTGGAGAGGTGTCGAAGCCAAAGCTTCGAAGTGCCACCAAGTGGATCGCCCTAATATTCTCTTTGAGTCACCTCCAACAGATGAGCCTCAAATCATTCGAGGTTGGTCTTGAAGGCGACCCTTGACTCCTACCGCCTAGTAGCTCAAAATCTCCAAGAGTGACAAGTGTTGGTGATGAACAAGAGTGGGGATAACGAATTGGTTTGGTGGAAATGTAGAATCGAGCTTTTGGGGGTCAGCAATGGAGGAGCAACTCAAAACTTAGGTTTAGGTCTTGAGGTGGAAGAAGGGGGTATAAATACCCCTCAATCAAAAGTGAATGTGGCCCACCTATTGTCCCCATGCGCATGGGCTAAAGGACTCCGTGCGCATGGGGTCACTCGAGAGCTAAACCAGGGACATAGTGGGCACGCGGTCACCCGTGCGCAAGGGGGTATCTAGAAAGTTTGGCGCTCGACCCTGCAAGCACTGGCGTCAGGAGGCCCATAGGCACGGGGTGTTGATGCTGACATAGCTAGCATAAAAACATTTACACATATTACACGACAAATAAATGACGGTACTGTTGTTCCTCAGTGCATATAATTTGACTAAGAAGAAGCCAATACTACCTTCATGTTTTACTCTGCTTGTACTCAGGCACAAAGGTGTTGATGAAAGAAGATTACATGGAGTTAGATGCATGCATGGAATCAGCCCAGCCATCCATGTTGTATGCTACGTGCAACTTATAAGATGCATGCAATCAAGTCAAGCAATGGGTCCCACGTGTGCATGCAGTCAAGGATCTGGCATGCTTTCACATACTCCCTCTGTTTCTTTTTAGTCTGCACATAAGATTTTGTCAAAATCAAACTTTATAAAGTTTGACCAACTTTATAGAAAAAAATATCAACATCTACAATACCAAAGCTATATAGTGTGAAAATTAATTTCATGATGCATCTAACAATATTGATTTCATACCGTGAATCTTGATATTTTTTCTATAAACTTAGTCAAAGTTAACCAAGTTTGACTTTGATCAAATCTTATATGCGAAGTAAAAAAGAAACGGAGGGAATATACGCTTCGGGAGGAGTATTGCTTGTGCAAAACACATACGCAACACAGCCGAGGAGCTATGGCCCATCCCTGGTGCTAGGGCCCATCGGCCTAGGAGCTGGCGACATCGACATAACACCGGAGCGGATAGGCATCTACGTTCATCCAAGAGATCCACGCGTCTCGGCACTGTCATATATTCCTTCAATAAATAGCTAGCATAGACTCAAATTTTGTTTAGAGAAGTTTAGCTATTGCTATTTTTATTTGTCTTCGCTCGTAGCAGCTAGTGCGACCATCAAGACATCCTATCAGAACCCCATCTTGTGGATCTCGAGTAGGGGGGCCCGATCTGTGGATCTTGGATCAATGGGTAACAGGAGGCGAAGGAAACAATGTTTACCCAGGTTCGGTCCCTCTTGAAGAGGTAAAACCCATGTTCTGCTTTGATTATATTGATGATGATGTATCGAGTATAGGCTTGATCTACCTCGAGATCGTATGTTGTGTTCTAACCCTAATTAAGGCGAGTAATTGTGATCGTATCCCTAAGGACAAAACCCTCAGCTTATATAAGTACTGGGGGTATCTAGGGTTACACGTATCGGTTGCCAACTGGGAATACACATGCCGATAGTTGGAGCAGTCCTTGAAGTACACGCCAAGTCTTCGGCAGAGTCCATCTTGATCACGCCGGGGTTCGAGGCTTCCAGAGTCCTTCCTTTTGAGATCAATGGGCCTCAAGCTTGGCCCATGGACTGCGGGTCAACTAGGTTGGTACCCCTTAGTCCATGGAACTGCCAATAGCCCCTGAACTTGTCTTCGGAGCTGAAGACAACAATCATGTTCGTACCAAATGTCTTCGGCTTTGGAGTCTTCAGCTTGACAGGCGAGTTCCTTCCATCAGTCTCAACTCAACTTCCAGGCTCGTAGAAAATTTTCGGTTCCGGTTTATGGTAAGGATGAGTTCCTTGCAGCCCGAACACCTTTACCGTCATCTAGCCGTGGGCCCCCCATGGGTGGTCCTTTCATTAAAACAATTCCTTCTCAATACTCAAGCCATTTGGCGAACTGGTCGCTTTATGGATAGACGTCGAAGCGCCGTCCTTCGCTTTATTTAACAGGTACACGACCCAAAGCCGTGGCGAAAACACGCCGTCCAGTTCCCCCCTGCTCACCCGTTCACGAAATCTCCCCCTAGAAGTTTACCTTCAAGAGCTTCCGCCATGGCAAACGACGCGGGTTAATCAAAGCGCCCCCACGGCCCCCTCAAAGGAGATTGGGAGGCTGCTCCATCACCCGTCATCAATTGGACCGGCTCGCCACTCAAGGTTATTTGTCGTACCCAGATCTAACTTCCACCCACCCTGACTTAATATCCGTAAACGGGCAAGCGCATGTGGATAATCATCCTATCTTGCACGGGGAGGAGAGAGTTTGTTTCGTCCCCTTTTTGTTGCGGGGTCTTGGATTTCACATCCATCCCTTCCTACGGGGTTTGCTTGAGTTCTACGGGATCCAACTCCACCACCTCATGCCCAACTCTGTGTTACATATCGTGGGGTTCGTCGCCCTCTGCTAGATGTACCTCGGATGCGAGGCACACTTTGGGCTGTGGAGGAAGTACTTCTGTCACATGCCATGTTCCCGAGGTGGAAAACTTCATGAGGTGGGAGCAGACAAGGTGTGCTGTATCATCGGGACTGGCTACCCAGCAGGTACCCCTAGAGAAAATACCAATACATGGGCCACTGAATGGTTCTACATGACCGATGTCCCGCTGCATGATCAGCTCGTCTTGGGCTCCCGTCCTTCTCTCCCGATCCCCCGAAGAAGCGTTTCAACTGGAGGCCAAGGAGTTCCTTACAAAAGGATGACTCCGACGTGGCTCTCCTAGCCGCTCAAGTGAGGTGCTTGACACACAACGGTGTTACCATCATTGATGTGATGGCAATGACAATTGACTAAAGAGTCCAACCTCTTCGGTAACACACTGTGACGCCCCCGATTCAATCGTACACTAATCATACATGCAAACATGTATGATCAAGATCAGGGACTCATGGGAAGATACCACAACACAACTCTAAAAAGAAATAAGTCATACAAGCATCATAATACAATCCAGGGGCCTCGAGGGCTCGAATATAAGTGCTCGATCATAGATGAGTCGGCGGAAGCAACAATATCTGAGTACAGACATAAGTTAAACAAGTTGCCATAAGATGGCCAGCACAAACTGGGATACAGATCGAAAGAGGTGTGGGCCTCCTGCCTGGAATCCTCCTAAACTATTCCTGGTCGTCGGCGGCAGGCTGCACGTAGTAGTAGGCACCTTCGGTGTTGTAGGAGTCATCGTCGGTGGCGTCTGGCTCCTGGGCTCCAACATCTGATCGCAACAACCGGGTATATAAAGGGGAAAAGGGGGGAGCAAAGCAACCGTGAGTACTCATCCAAAGTACTCGCAAGCAAGGATCTACACTACATATGCATTGGTATCAATGAAATGGGTAGTATCTGTGGACTGAACTGCAGAATGCCAGAATAAGAGGGGGATAGATAGTCCTATCGAAGACTACGCTTCTGGCAACCTTCATCTTGAAGCATATATAAGAGATTAGCTGGTAAGTTCACCAAGTATCATCATATAGCATAATCTTACCCGGCGATCCTCTCATTGTCGCCCTGTGAGAGAGTGATCACCGGGTTGTATCTGGCACTTGAAAGGTTGTGTTTTTTTGACCTCGTTGAAAGGGTGTGTTTTATTAAGTATCCGGTTCTAGTTTTCATAAGGTCGAAGTACAACTCCGGGTCATCCTTTTACCGAGGGACACGACTATTCGAATAGATAAACTTCCCTGCAGGGGTGCACCTCATTACCCAACACGCTCGATCCCTCTGGCTGGGCACACTTTCCTGGGTCATGCCCAGCCTCAAAAGATCAACATGTCGCAACCCTACCTAGGCACAACAGAGAGGTCAACACGCCAGTCTAAGTCCTATGCACGCAGGGGTCTGGGCCCCTATAGCCCGTTGCACACCTGCATGTTGCGTACGTGGCCGGTGAGAAGACCTAGCAACCTCCATTACAAAGGAAGTTGTGTTACGTGGTCCAACCCGACGCGCGCCG